TAGACCGTAGCGACGTTGCCGGAGCTGCTCGATGTTGAGGTCTTGCAGATCAAGAGTACTGGTCTCCAGGTAGCTATCCATGGGTGATTCCATTCAAGAAGTTCCGCAGCTGTTTGGAGGCCACGTGAATTCCAAAGGCGTTCTCCACTCAGGCCGCGACTGGAGATGACTTCATATTTTGGTGTACATGAAGGTGAATGGCGGCAGCCGGCTCCTGCTTATAGAGGAAGATCTTGGGTATCTTCCGCCCTGGTACTCATATCCACTTCCTCTGTCTGGGCTGCGAAAACTTCGCTCATATGTGACTCGGCCGGAATGACTTTTTTTTGCCCCCCCCCCTGTATATGGTAAGATGTGCAGGTGTGTCGCCTGTTTTGTGAGCGGGTTCTACCGATGGGGAGCCACTGTGAGTCAAATCAATATGTTTCTATGACGTGATCTAGAAACACTATTTAGTCAAAATTCTATATAAATTCGTGCTTAGCACCGGGTTTAGGGTGCTAAGCACGAAAACATTGCAAGGAAATCAAATCTGAAAACTTTTTCGGACTCTCTATCTTCTAATCATGTACAAATGGGAGTTTAAACTAGGTACTGGCTCTGTCTCGCTGCCATTGTCGAAACGTTGTGCCTGTCAACATGGAGTACAGCCTCTTTTTAGATAGCTAATATACGGAAGTTCTGGCCGCGCAAGAAGATTCTCGTTTACAATTTGGGCTTGAACCAGGGTTCAGTAGAAAAATTGGAAGTAAGTTGAAGGAAGCCTCCAGCTGCGATTTCAATTCTAACCGAATTTTCTTCACTCGGTTTATGTTTATGCTCGGTAGAATAATGGCAATTGTGGAACTAATGTTAATAACATTATTTTAAGAAGAAGTGTCTAGTGGAAGTGCGCGGCTTTCCATTTTCCAGCTATCCATCTCATGTGGCAAATTTGAACGAATACAGATGGAAACCTCTCATAATTGCTGTGAGTTTCATACAGAATATTTTGAATCCAGTTCAGCAAGAAATTCATGAATGGACAGAATCAACCATAGGTGCTTTGCAGCATCTCTTTTAAATCCACTATTTTCTAAGGTGCCACAGCCACACACAGAATTGTTGCTATTAAGATGACAGTGAAGGAATTTGGAGCGGTATGGTGGATGGACACCTCAGTGCGGTGGCAAACAGATTATAGCAAGCTGGTGTATGATGAAATTCGGTGTCAGAATCTTTCTGCTTCTATGGGACTCGCAAGGTGCACAAATTTCTAGATTCGTGTATTGTAGGAAGAAGTTAGAAGGCTGCAGGGTGGTGTAGTAACTAGTAACATGAACTATTCGTGATACTCTCCCTCCCAGCCCAGTCTACCGAGGTAGTAATCTCTTCGAGATTTTCTTAATACGCCCCTGACTCAAAGTCAGTTTTCACAAACACGCTGCTCTGAAGAGACAAGCAAAGAAACCGTAGAAGGCTTTGGAATGGCCATCATACCTGCTGCTGGTTCCTAATTTAGAGCGAGTTCACATTGAAAAATCACGGACAAGAGGCAAGATTGTGGATAGGGAGAGGCATCACAGAGACGAGCAAAACGGCAGAAGGGACCTCAACTGTAATCGCACACATTTTGTGGTGAACTCTTCAAGAAAGGGGCACACCACAACGGAATTCGATGACTTTGTTTCTCATCTTCAGACACGACCCTGGTGTTGGCAGCCAGTATTTATTCCTGAAGAGGGGTTGTTTCTCATACAGCGGCAAGACCGTTGCTGTCAAGACACTCTTGTGTTTGTGGGTTTTTAAAAGTTAAATAAGTGGTGCAATCCGAGCAACATATGCTCACGAACACTAACGAATTTCTCATGTCTTCAAAGGAAGCGGATATTGAACGCAATTTTGCATTACACTAAATCATTTTGATATGTTTTCAGCTTTATGACCCTCTTTCGCAATCCAAATGCTGCAGGATGCGGAAAGGTAACTATTCAACTATCGCATTTATAATATTTGCTCTCAAAATGAACGCTGCTTCCCCCCTCCCTTAATTTCTGTTATTTCAGTCGGGATACGTTCTACAAACGCCATCTGGTCACAGCATTTTCGCTACTACTGACCCTGGTGTGTTTTCATTGCATTAGTCTCCTGGAGCATTTTAGTACCGTAGTCAAAACTCTTATATTCTAGGCGTTTACAAATATTTTCCAACAGTATTTGATAATCTGAAGAGCACTTCGTGCGAGAATTACGACGCTAACTTTGCGTTCATTGTAAGGACAAAGGACACGGTCGATATTTTGAGATGGTACTGTGATTTCTTGAAAACGTTAGATTCTGATACATTCCGTCTGAAACAAGATAATTCTTATAGGTTGGTACTGTGTGCTCTAGAAAGAGACTGTATGGCACCGCCAGGGTCACAGCTTGTCTGCAAATTTGGCAACGATCGCTACACGCGATATGCTGGATGTCATAGGTAGGCAAATAAGGACGACATTCGAGATAATAGACTGGACATACCATGACAGAGCAAAATGCGATGGAATAGTTTACAGAAAAAAAATAAAATAGACGACAATAGGTATGTATGCTACATACTTCGCTGCTAAGTGGGGAACGTTGCATATGAAATTTATCACGCAGGTAAATAGTTCTAGCGTCACATATCAGATCGGCTTCCTAACAGGCCAATCAAGAAGCTGATGGTATTGTTGGTCAAAGAACATGCCACTATGACTTACTGGATGCAGGATGGTGCCCCATTCCTGGGATAGATCAATCAGCGGCGAAAGTTTGTCCTTCTACCCATTAATTTCGCGGCTAAGCTACGCACAAGCCAGATATCACAGCTTACAAGTAGCAGCACGACGTAATCCGGATCGTTTATTTGTGCGAAACTCCTGAAACCCGGTATGTGGAAGTAAAAAAAGAAAAGGGGAAGAAGTAGAGGGGAAAAAAGCGCAAAAGTCGCGTTAAAGGACAACAAACGAAAGTAGTAAATTGACTGAAGCTTTAACCAAAAACCACATAGTGATCGATAATACATATTGGACATAAGACTACAAGGTTCCGGAAAATACAACAGAAGCATGGCAAGGGCCGTATGGAGCACATGAAGGGTAAAATACAAAAATAAAACCTGGAGAAAAACTATCGTTCTCTCTCCCTCTCTCTTTCTCATTGAATCAGATATTTTTGAGACTTCTAGGCTTAGATCCTCATTTGATTGCGTGAGTGTGTCTTCAGACGGCTCATTCCTGCAGTGAGAAACTGCGCTGAAATAGCTGGGAGCGTAGCTACGGTTGAGATCAGTGGCGCATTCTGATTCACTGTGGCAATATCTACTCCAGTAGCAAGTTGACTGTTTGTTACTTATAGGTATGACCAATCTGTGATCAATCTTCTGCTCGCCAATTCATATGGGTACAATCCCAGGAACTACGTCAGCCGCTTCGGAGCTAAAGGAGTGAAAATTGAGAAGATATGCCTCATACTCATTAACTGCTAAGGATTTCCTGTGTAACTGAGAAACTACAACAAGTGTATTAGCACAATGTTGTTATAGTAGATTTCTATTGTCAATGTGAAGCATGGGGTACGATTTCTGTATTCAACACTTCTGCAGTTCATTCAGCTTTTTGAACGTTATGCAATTGATATGTATGCGGGCGTTTTCTTTGTGTATTGAACGTTTCTCCTGAGACTTGCTGGTACCAGTAATTTCATTCTCATTGTATATCGTATCGGCACTCGCGCTTGTGAGCGTGAATAAGTTTGTCTCCTAGAAGTCAAACCTGGAACGAATTTTATCGGAGGTAACGCGATCGTGGTATCTGAATCGCGGTAACGAAGTTTTAGTGCAAAAAGAAAGTCGATAAATGAAAGGTAAAAGTTGAGAGATTTGGAGTTGTATATTTCTTCACGGGAACCGTCATCAATTTGGCATTAGTTGCCGTCAATCGAGAGCCATTGTGCATTCTAGATATGTTACTAAATGCAAAAGTGCAGAATTCATCACATTTTGTCTGCATGAGAAACCAGTCATCGTTTGTGGGAAGCAGACACACGGTATGTGTATGTGTCTGGTGGCGCTCTGTAGCGCTTTGTAAAGCTCAATCTGTCTCGAAAAGGGATCTGATGGGTGCCTCGGAACCGCTCTTCCGTAAGTGGTGTATCCTAAGGCAGTGGGCGCGATTTGCTTGACGGCATGGCATAATATGATTCCCTGCAAAAACCGAAAGCAGACACAATCAGTGATACGACAGTGAGGTAAAAACGGGAGGAAACGGCCGAAGGCGCCCGAAATAGGGCCCTCATTAAGTGCTCCAATGAGCAAGTGTCTGAGTCTATGCCTGAGATAATCATCGCTGGTCAATGATCAATGTGGAAAAATCACGGCGACTGCTAAGGAAATATGAAACGCATTATTTCAAGCGGTACCAAACTTCGACAATATCAGCAGGGATCCTTCCTGGAAGCAGGGACACACTGACGACGTTTCCACAAAGTGGCGGTCGAAGATCCCTTGTGTTGACCAGCCGTTCCTACAGCTTTATGGTATGAGCCGCCTTAGCTGGAGCATTACATCGCCATCTCCTTCCAGTTTGGAGATAGCGATAATTGTTCTACTCCTTCACGCATGCGGCATTCCCCCTTCAGCTGCCTCCTTTTCGGGACGTGGGTGAGACAGCTCCTCCTATGCTCCCCAAGGGCCTTCCATGCCTCTGCCGGTACCCATCCATTGAATTCCCTACTATTCCTATCTCTCAGAGGACTGCATCCTCTATGCAGGGAGTGATAGTGCCTGCTATCATCTCTATGTTGAGCTGTCCTTGCGGGGGATTTATCGCTCAGGAGTCCCTCGTAGTATTCTCCCCCATCTCGTTCTGACTTTGGCTGGTTACTTGAGAATGGCACCACTGCAGCTCTTTACTCATTATTAATCCGATGTTTCTGCACGATGCATGGCGTCAGCCAAGCTGCAGATGAACCTGTCCCCCTCCCTCCCTTTTCATATAGGGTGTCTTCCGGAACTTGGCCTAAGAAGAAAAAAAACTCGGAAGAAGAAGAAGAAAAAGAAGAAGAAGAAGAAGAAGATGCTACAATTGAATGCCACAATAGTAGCCTGGATGTCAAATAAACGCAGTATGCAAATTTATACCATTTTTCGTGGCAATAATGATAGCGCCAAACTAGCGCTGCCACTTACTTGTTAGATGTTAATCGGTGATTTGTAAAATACGAAATATAATGACAAGGCAGAAGACATTCCAGTGGGGAAAAAAGGGGAACAATCATACAAAATGCCATAGATAGGCGCTTTTCTTTATCACCTCACTCTCATCATTCGAAATGGAGGGAGGTGGGAGCAGAGAAAGGGCATCACCAGGAAGCCTCCAAGAACGAAAGTCGGCTATTGCATTAGGCCTCGAGGGTGCGCTGTCTTCGTCAGGAGCTGTTTCTTCACGTATCTTGAGCTGCTAAAGTCTTCCCCAGGGGAGGTATTCGAACATGAAGTGCGAGCGAGTCGAGTGCGACTCTAAATACGTCGAGAGTTTCACAAGAAGTGCGACTTTCTGGCTCGTTGAAAATTTTCTGTCCGCCACAGCAAGTCCCAGAAGCAGCTAGTCAGGGAAAATTATTTATTCCGGAATAAACGTGCCGTCACGAAAATATTAGAGATGAGTCATTGTGTCAAAATTTCGGACGTCGTAAAAACTTTTGCGAAAAGGCTCTACACGGTGCGAAAAAACTATTTGCTCAGGCATGCTGCTAACTTCTCGCAACTCTTATCTTGACCTCATGCACGTTATCACGGCCGTTAGCTGCGCCTGTTACTTTTTCTCGCGCCGCTATTATTCGTTTTAGCTATATGCATATCTTATGAAGCGCATGTTACTGTTATGATGTCATTGAATGTTGTTTTCAAAAGATTTCTGCTGCATGCCTGTGGTATTATCTAGTTATCGCTCCCAGGGCACACATCACATTGCACAGTACCCTGCAAGGCATGCATATGTTCAGCTGAATAGGTCACAATTTGAAAACAGGGCAGATCGTTAGTTGGGTTGATTTTGATCGAGTTTGTACATGCCCCCCCCCCTAGTTGTCTTCTCTGGTACGACCAAGCTGTTAAGCAGGGGAAGGGGGGGGGGAGGGTATATAGCACATGTGAAACAAGAGAAACAGCGAAAAGTCAACAACCAGGCAACCAGGAAAGCTTTTCCCGACGCCGCAAATTTCTCTCGAAAGGCAAGTACGACAAATCCTCTCCCAAAAAAGGGGAAATGGCACACTTCCTCCTCTCCCCCTCCCCCTTGTACCTTTGTCTTAATAACTTGCTCGCCCTTTCAGTGACTTGTAGTCACTGACCACGTTTCTGAATATACTCAAGGTTTCACTAAAATTTTATTTCGGCCCACAAAGTGATCGGTCTTGAATCTTGTCCCTTCCGAGTGCTCACCAGCGTCTCGATCCCGATCGTCCTGGTCGTCTTGAACGGCTCAAACCAGACTCCGACACGATCATCCAATCGTCTCCCTTTTATACCGAATTTTATGTTGAAGTGTGCAAGCACAAAGTTAAGTTGCGCTTACAAGGGAGGTCGTTCAGGGCGTGGTGCGCTTTTCGAAAACGGTTTTTTGCATATTGTAGGGGCTCATGCAAGGACCTGAAAAGTGTGCTTCATTTTCGCTGCGCGCTTCCAGGAAAGGTAAAAAACGAGTGAAAAGAAATCTTTGGAATCTGCTTCGTTCTGGGCCTCTATACGGCGTAGGTCACTTGCAACTTTGACCAGTTGCTGAGTGGGGGGTCCTTATAAAGGGGCTATTTGAATCGAAGCGAAAAATCGCCGCAAGTGAGCTTCCAACTTGGGTCATGTGCTCAAGGGTGAACGGCTTCTTGCAATGGTTTCATCAACGATAAGAGCGCTAGCAGTCGAGCATCGGATGGCCTAGCGGATAGAGTGGAGGTTTCGCAATCGGACAGTGAGGGTGGGGTTGATGGTTCGGCTCCCCTTGCGTCGCGGCTTTTTGCATTTTTCAGGTTTCGCTATTCTCGCTTCCATTAGTGTCTGCGCATGAATATAACTCGGATATTTGCCATTTATGGGCACATTCCGAGTAGCTGTACCTCATGAGTCAGTGCTATTCAACTATTTCGATTTTCACGCACCATTGAACAAGATTGTTGCTGGACGTTGATCCTCATAGGCTATACAGTGGATCTGATTGCGAATTTAGTAACTTCTGGTGTGGTGTCAATTATAGACAATTTGGGGCCACATCTTCTTTCCACTGAATTCGTTATGTACACCAATATAGGGAACGTTCACCGCTATTCTGTCGCCAAATTGCGTGGACGCCAAGAATAGGTGTTATATTTGTGATCAGGGCCACTGATTACCACTAAAAACGAATTTTCGGTCAAAACAATTGTTTTGACCTTCTTGGGTTTGCTTATTGGGTTGTCCGGGTCCGTAGCGTCAACGATACGCATCGCTGTTACGAAGATGTGAGACTCCGCTCACACTGCCGACCAAATGGTCACCTACAACCCGAAAAAGTCAAAAAAAATTTTTTGCTCAAAACTTGCTCCTAGGGGTAATCGACAGTCCTGATCACGATTCTAGACTTTATTTTCGGTTCCAGTGCCATCTGGCACCGGCATAGCGCCGAAGAGCTGAGTCTGTGCATACTAACGAATTCGAACGAAAAAGCAGTTTTGCTCCATAAAAGTAGGATTGTTCAGTTTATCGTGAATGTTTTTGTTAGGACCAATTATTTAGACAAACATGGATCCAAAAAATGAAAAATTGTAGAAAAGCAAAATTTTGTCCTCGGTGGGATCCGAACCATCGACCTATTTTTTTTTTTTTATTCGTAGAAGCGCGCAGCGAAAATGAACCTCAGTTTTCTGGTCCTCGTATGTGCCCCTACAATATGCACAAGACCATTTTGAAAAAGCTCACCACGCCCTGAACGACCTCCCTTGTAGTGCACCCGCTTTGTTTTGGAATTCTCCAACGAATGATGTCCTCTGTGTGTAATTCAGCAGCACGCTGTAGACTAAAATCTTCGAAGCGGAGAAAGAATATCGCAGATTCCCCCCTCTGATGATCTGATCACGTCTAGTCTATCAATGCGAAACCGTTGCTTCTCTTGCGCTACATCGAAGCTGCTAGGAAAGCTGCTCTGCTGGCTGGAATCAAAGATGCATTCGTAGAACTTATGAGTGGTTGAACGTCCATTGAACTTCCCGCCGACGCAATTTGGGGTCAGAGCTATTCTTTAATCTGCACTATAGATCTATTGCTATTCATGGTATGCACATTCAGCAATTACGAAGCCTTTTTTATTGTTTTGCCCAAAAAAATGGTAGGGTTAATTCCCAGAGTTGATTCAAAAGGTAGATAACAACTGCAACTTCAATGTACAATGCAGTCTCGGTAGATCTTCTTTTTTCTCCACATGATGTACCATTACTTCTGGTATGACTCACTTGCCAATGACAATGTGATCATATCTCGGAGATGGGAAGGCGGGGCAACGTATCTCCAGGAGCAGTGTGTGATTGTTGATGTACACCGCTTCTTCCGCGCATGGGAACGCTTGCCCAAAAGAACGGCTTATTGGTGTAAGTTCCGACTCCATTGTCTTGAGCGTCAGACCAGCCTCTTTAGTCCCAGTACGCATTAGCAGAATTCCAATGGCAAGCATTTAGATAACATAAAGCCAGGTAATTCGCAGGTAATTCCTTAACTAACTACACTTCATATTCCTCTGAGGCTCAAACCTCCGGGGCCTCCTTCAAGCATTGATCTTTTTTCTTTATTATGTAGCCTTTATTTTTTGGGGGTGCGGGTATAGGAGGACGCGTACAGATGCAATGAGAAATAGCTGACCTTTATTGTGAGGACGATTAGGGCATTTTGTTCTTCAAGGTAGATGAAAGAGTCCACCCGCGAAGTCCTGGTCCTTGGTCCAGAACGCAGAGAGGTGACAACAGTACTGGGGCTTGCTGACAACTTAACCCGTTACGAACGAATTCGTCCGGGACCCCAGGCGAACAAACCAAGGGGGACCTCAAGCGAGCGGGTTCATCATCCTTCAGCTTCATCATTCTTCGGGCTCCTAAAACGACTGATCCTCAAAACTTAAGCCCGCGATTTTTATTCTCGAAATTTCCCATTCCCATTCTTCCATTCTCCAGAATGAGACCTATATTTTATTTCGGGACCACTGTCTATTGGTATTCTTAAGTTGTCTATTCTCCTAGCCCTCGAAGTCGCACAACTTGTGCACTCGGTATCCCTGAGATGAGTAGGCGTGGCTGCGTATTTCAGCTAAATATTTTGACACAACTGTGGTCGTGACTCTGCCCAACACAGAACAAGATGACAGTTGTCCCAAACACAAGTATCATACGAGTAACCCTTTCTGTGCCATGTTCAGGCCACGCCTACTCCGTTCCAAGGATAGCTATTGTATGAATGCGGCCCAAATGGAGGGTCACTTTTTTGACTGTGTTTCTTTCCTTTTTCTCATTTACTAGGTAAGCCCTCAAGTATATAAAAATACCACTTCGAGTGCAGTTACTGAATTTTTGTTGTTGCCAATCCTGAATAGAACTCGTCAACCTAAGAACTTCACAACAGGTTCCAGTTAACGCATCCTCTCGAAAAATGGACGATTGGTTGCCCTGAGAGCGATTAGCTTAGATATTTGAATTATGAGCCATGCGTGCGGTGACATACTCCTGCACCACCTTCATATGGTAATCGCATGATCCTTGTCAACAGTTGTTAAAAATACGAGGGTATCTTGAAGACGGTGGACAGGATAGATTGGTTCTGCTTCAGAAATGAGAGCAGAGAAGCCAAAGAGGGAAATCATAGCAAATCGGGACGAAGTCGTCGGAACTACCGGAGCAGCACCTTATCTCGCCAACAACTCTTTACCGCTCAGTTTTCATCATTTGCTTGAATTTCCAGCATAGATTTTCACTTCCAACGACTCTTCATTGGAGGGGGAGGAGGTGGGGCTGGAGTGAAAAGATGAGGCATTGCTTGCATACTTTCTATTACACTGAGCAATTTCCGGTGAAGTGAGATTCGTTGACTTTCCGACATTAACTCATAGTAAGGAAGTTCTCCATAAAATGAATACATTTTCATTGAGATTCAGCGATCATGCGAAAATGGTAACCGAGTAACGATGCAGTATATAAGGTTGTTTTTAATTATATGTACACTCGTTGTCATGTGCCTCTTCATTTTCCATGACATACTCGGGATAATGTTTA